GGGGGGCAGCTGGATGGAGGCCAGGGCCACGCTATTCTGAGGGGACATAGGAGGTCCTCAGAGATACTCAGCATCCCCGGGCTTTGATGTCTCCCAGCCCCTTCCTGTCTCCTGCGCTGTCCCTCCTCCCACCTCTTACCTCCTCTCACACCCACCTCCACCACCTGAGACCTGCATCTCAGGACCACCCTCCTCAGCTCCTGGTCCTCACCCCACACTCTTCCCTTCCCCCGGTGCCCACCTTGATGTGGAAGGATGACAGAGAAATGTTGGGCCTCCCAGTGGTGCAGCGGAAGCGGAGTTGCTGATCAGCTAAGGGTTCGGGCTCCAGTGGGACATTCTGGCCAGGGCCACCTGGCTGCATGCCTGACACTCCTACCTCCCTCCTCTGGAAGGCTGTGCAGGTCAGGCCCACATAGCTGTGAGGCTTGATGAGGTAGGCCTCCAACGCCACATTTCTTGAGTTCTAGGGACAGGGAATTTGTCACCCAGTGACTGAGATATGGTGGACTTCCGCCCAAGACAACACGTTTCCTCACTTCAGATCTACTTTAGCTGTTCCTCCCCTTATCCTTTATTTCCTCAGTGTCTTTTGAGAGCATGGGAAGTCTTACATGGGACATAGAGTCACCCACATGTACCTGTGCACACACCTTCCAGTCATAGGCCTTCTCCTTCCCTTGTGAGCTTTCATATGCTCCCTACCTTCTACCTGCTGTTTCTGTTGTCACCCCCTCAGCTGTCAAGCAGGACCCATGTCTACCCCCTGCGTATTCCCAAGTATCTAGCTATCTAGCATGACATCTTTTTTTTTTCTTTTTCTTTCTTTTTAATTTTTGAGACAGGGTTTCTCTGTGACAGGGTTTCCTGGACTCACTTTGTAGACTAGCCTGGCCTCGAACTCACAGAGATCTGCCTGCCTCTGCCTCCCAAAGTGCTGGCCTTACAGACGTGCGCCACCATGCCCAGCATAGCAGAACATCTTATACACAGATTGTCTACCAAGTGTCTTCATTCTACCAGTTTAGAAATGTCACTGCCCATCTGTGTACTTCCAGTACTCATGCCATTGAGCGCTGTCCTCCCTGAAACAGTCTTCCTTTCCCTTGCACTCACTTTCAGGATGCTTCCATCCCAGTCGACTTCCATCAAGCTAAACCTCAACTCAGTTCCCGAGGTCCACAGTGTCACCATCGCTGCCACTCTCTCTTTTGTACTACCCTGACAGTTCACACACAGCTGAGCTGTGCTTGCCACCATGCTCCCAGAGCCTGAGGAGAGGGAAGCACTTCCGACCTATGGCTCACCACTCTCAGGCTCCACTCCCCCAGCTAGCCCCCGAAGAGTCCCTCCCACTCCAACCTACAGTACCACAGAGATGTGCTGGGCATGAGGGCTAAGGGCAGCTCCTCCAATGCGCTCCAGGGCGCCCACAATGCCGCTGCAGGCTTTGTCTTCTTGCTGGGCCAGCCACAGAAGGTGCTCGTCCACCAGCATCAGGTTGCTGGCCATGTCCACCATTACCTCCACCAGCTGAGGGAGGGGAGGAGGAAGGTAGGGCAGTTACTGGGGACAGGAGTGGTATCTGGGATCCAGGGCTGGTGTGTGTGAGGCCTGAGATGCCGGAAGAACTGCTTCCAGTTTGCTCAGAAGAGAAGTTGAATCAACTCACCTCTTTGATCTGGTCAACATAACCCAAAAACTTCTGGATCATCTGAGCCACATAGACTACGTCCATCATGTCTGAAAAGCTGGCAGCCTCAGCAGTGTACACTCGAAGCTGGTGGGCCAGGGTCAATGCATTGGAGGCATTAATGGGCATCTGCGGGTATTGGGGGAAAAGAGAAGATCAGCCTGGTTTCCTCTTTCTGTCCAAGAACTGGCCCTTAGAACCCTGGGCCACAACACAGGAGAGGAGGCCAAGACTATCTACTGAGACCATCATGATTAAAAGTGCACAAATCTCCGAGCATCACAACCCTAGGCTGGTCAAGCCTAGGGTTAGCTTAAAGACAATGAGGGTGTAAATCAATTCGATAGTGGACAAAGAAGATAGAAGGGGGTGGAGGCCTGGCCCTAAGAAAAGACAAGCTGGAGGACAGCACCATGGGAAAAGGTGTCAGCCAATGGCCCTTGCTGTATCCACTCCACAGGGACTCACTATATAACTCTGGCTGTCCCAGAATTCATTACATAGACCAGACTGGCCTTGAACTATGAGACCCACCTGCCTCTGCTTCCTGAATGCTGGGATTAAAGGCGTGTGCCACCATGCTTGGCAGCTGTACCCACTCTTAATGCACACCTGAGAGCAGAGGTACAGCCTCCCCGATGAAGTATCAGGCCCCATCCCACCCAATCCCAGGAATCAAAGTTGGGGGGGGAGGTTAACCCCCGCCTCACCAGCACAAAGGTGTAGAGCACCCGAGTGATGTCATTGGTGTACAAACAGTGGGAGTAGTCCCCTGGCTCCCAGCGGCCAGCTCGGTCACACCGTCGTGAGGCTCGGGTCCCCGGGGCTCCCCCACTCAAGGGCACAGAGGTGAAGGGATACTGTAAGCAGGACTGGTAAGCCGTGATGCCAGCCAAGGTTCGGGGCCACCTAGAGGTAGAGGTTGAAAGCTGCTACGACCAATGTTCCTTGAGATGAACGCCCTCCCCTCTCAACCCCTACCCAGGACTGTGACACCAGACCCCTGGGGTTTGGTGAAGGATGCAGTAAAGGATGTCCTGGCAGCCTTCGAGGGGTTCCTCAGTCCAGCTTTCTCTCAGCTTGCAATGCAGGGATCTGGGTTTACAGACAAGTTCTTCCATTTATTGGATGAATTACTGATCCCCCCCCCCCCCCCCGGAGTTTGGTATTTTCAGCTCTACAGTTTGGAGATAATACCTGCCCTTCATACAGAGAGGGCCCCCAGAGCTCAAATGTGACAAAGTTTGCATATCAAATGGGAAGAAGCAATTAAAAGATGGTCATCAGGGCTAGAAAGATGGCTCAGTGGTTAAGAGTGCTGTCTGCTCTTCCAAAGGACCAGGGTTCAATGCCCAGCACCCACATGGCAGTTCACAACTGTTTGTGATGCCAATTTCAAGGGATCTGACACCATCACACCAAATGCACATAAAATAAAAATTAAATAAATTATAAAAAACCAAAAAGGTCACTAAAAGATGGTCATCTTCCTGAGATGCAAGAGCAAGACTGTGAGCTAAATGACAAAAGGGAGTTCTTGGGACTGGAGGAAGAAAGTGACTGGGTTCCCCTAGTCACCTGTGCTTTCAGAGGGTGCAAGTGTAGCAGTGGAGTGGGGGGAAAGGAGGACGGATGTTTATAAAGCATTTATAAAGCGAAGCAGCCAACCTGAAGTCCCCGCGGTTGTTGGTCACTCGTTCCGCAGGGCAGTAGGAGGCGGATGTTTCCAGCACGACTATCTCCACCTTCTTGCTGGTGTTGCCTTGGACTGTGGACACGGAGCACTCCCACTCACCTGAGGCCCACACGCCGATGTGAGACAGGGTCAGCTCACTGCAGGGGAGGGGTGGGGGAATGGGCTTGGTGTGCTGGTTAGGTGTCTTTGGGTTTTGTTTGTTTGTTTTTGTCAACTTGACATGAGCTAGGGTCAACTGAGGAGACAGAACCTTAACTGAGAAAATGCTGCCATCACAGTGGCCTATAGGTGAGTCTGTGGGAGCATTCTCTTGAGAAATGTTTGATGGGGAGGGCCCAGCCCACTGTGGGTGCTGCCACTCCTGGGCAGGTGGTCTAGGGTTGTTTAAGAAAGCAGGCTAAGCATGGGGGCTGGGGACACTGCTCCTCTGTGGTCTCTGCTTCGGTTCCTGCCTCCAGCTTCCTCCCCAAGTTCTTGCCCTGACTCCTTTCCTTTCCTCCCCAAGTTGCTTTTGGACATGGTATTATCAAAGCACTAGAAAGCAGAATAAGACAGCTGGTGAGCACTCTCAGGCCCAGCCCAGTCCTCTCCTCCATGGCCCCTGGACAGACAGCCCATCTACCTATGTCCTGTCCTAGGACACCAGTCCAGGGTCTTCCTTTAATGGAATAAGAGACACATGTACATACATACTCCTTTTCTCCTGGCTAAAGCACCACCTAGCCTCATTTTATATATTATTTACTTTTTAGAGGGAGGCTTTAGTTCTCACCTCTATGCAGACCATTCATGAATGCTTAGTAGCTCTCTATAATCTCCCTCCCCCCCTTTTTTTCCTCCTCTCCTGCTCTCTTTCCATCTCCCAGAAGCATGTCTGGAGGGGAATGGGAACTGTGGCCACCCCTGTCCATGTCCCTGACTAAGAAGGGACAGCAGGGCCTGTACCTGGTGATGAAGGTGCAGTCATGGATGAGGTTTTCCGCAAGGACGATGCCAGCCTGCTCATCACTCTCCATGGGGGCTCCATTGTGGTACCAGTGGATTCGAGTATCGTTGCCCAAGTAGCTGGCAGAGCACTGGAAGGGCAGACGGTCACCCTGGAACACCACTTGACGTAGGGATGGGATGAGGTAATGCGTGTGCAGCTCCAGAGCCCCTTCTGTAGGTGAGACATCAGTGATGAGGCCTGAGCGTGAGCATGTGTGAGCCCATGCCACGGACTGGCTCTGGTAGTACAATCTGTTAGCTCGTTGTACTTCAACACGTGCTGAGAGTGGGATCCCATAGAGTAGGCCCAGAACCTCTACCTCTAGTGATCCCTCCCAGATAAAGCGAACTCAGGGGAGGATACAGTGGTGTTACCGGGGAGGGGAGAGCAGATAAGAATATAAACAAGCAAAGGGCCCCAGAAGAGGTTGAAGCATACCTTCAACCTCTTCTGGTAGGTGGAGGGCTACCCCATGGAACTGGGGGAAAGAGGAAGGCCTGGAAAACACGGCCATCAAATGACCACACATGGGGCCCAGAGAGCCTTGACCTAGCAGGCTGTGGGTGAGGGAGCCACTCTTTGGGGCCTGGGACAGCTTTCTCACCACAGCGGAGCTGGGGCTCCTGCAGGCTGCTCAGGGCCTGGGCGTGCAGGGCACTCGGGTAGGCGCAGAGGGTACGCTCCGACAGTTGCAGGGAGTGATTCCGGGCCCAGGGCAGCAGCCAGCGCAGGTGGCAGTCACAGGTCAGAAACTCAGTACCAAAGTCCCTGCAAGGCGGGTACAAGGAACAGTGTGGGCTCATGGGGATGAAACTAAGCAGGTAAGGGCTAGAGAAGACAACCTCAGGTATGTCTGTACCCTGCTGCCCAGGGGAGGATGAATTTGAAGGCATTTCTGGCAGTCTGCCTGGTCAGCAGGTATGATGCATGCCCCTCGGGCTAGAAAGGGCCACACAGTTGGCCCCAGTCAATGTGCTGAATGGAGAGTAGGAGTGTGAGAAGGGACAGTGTGGGGCGGTGGATCTGGGAGTTTCTCTAGGGATAAAGCAAGGGCTGAGGTTTGTTCTTCAGAGTCTCCTGGTTCCAGATTACTCCCTTTGGGGCAGAGGAAGGGGATGGGGGTGGGGTGGGGGGGAGGGCTGTTCCTGTGCTAGGAAAGATACTCACACAACCTTAAGGGCTGGCAGCTCATCAAAGACCCCTGGCTGCAGACTGGAGAAGATGTTTCCAGATATGTTTCTGCAGAGGGCGGGAAGAATGAGATGAGATCTTAGGGTCTCCCTGGGCCAGGAGAAAGGCTCTAATGCAGCCTTCTTCTTCCCAAGCCCTCCCCCCTCCTTCCTCACTTTCCCCCCATCTCTCAGAAGCTTACAGTCTGAGAAGTCACTTACAGTCTGAGAAGTCTGGGGAGGCCTTGAAATGTCTCAGAGGTGAGACAGCCAATCCGGTTGTTTGAGAGATCTCTAGAGAGAGACACACACTCTCAGCAAGTCCACAATAAGACAGGACAAAGCATCTCTTCTGGGAGAGACATTCAGCTGGACCTTATGTGGGCAGTAGGCTTGGGCCCAGTGCCACAGCAAGCTAGAAACACCCCCACACTTGGCCCTAGCCAATGCACAGAGTAGAGAACTGATGTCTGAGAAGGGACGGGGACAGGGTGGGTGGGTACTAGGGTTGGTTGCTCATGGTATCTGGGGATTTCTTTGGGGATAAGGAGAGGGCTGGGGGTAGGGTGGGGCAGGACATGCCACTCACAAGCGTTTCAGCTCTCCCAGACCTAGGAAGGCTCCAGGCTGCACAGTGCTGATGACATTGTTTCTCAAGTCCCTGTGGGAAGCAGTAAGGAAGCCTTCACACTTCTGTCTGAGGGCTGCCCTGCTCCTTGGGTGGGGCATTCTGTCACCACAGGTGCCCACTTTCTGTGGGGCTTGGTTTCCTTCTAAGTCAGCTTTCCTACACAGCCACCCAAGAGGCCCCTTCAGCCTCTCTGGCCACCAATAAAGGCTATGGTCAGAGAAATGTTTGAAAGCTAAAGTCCTGGGAAAAAGAACAAATCTGTGTTGAAGACCCTATGGACCAATTCATGATTCATTTGTCTTATGATGACAGAGGAGTTGTTGTGTTGCAAATGAAAAGCCACAATTATCTTGGGCTATCTTTAATTCCCTTAGTAGCCACCTATCCGCTATCTTGGTATCCAGCCAAACTTCCTTTTGACTATCAGCTAAGACCTTTGTAGGTTAGCAGGTAACCTAAAGCTAAGAATGTCATCAGATAGTATCTGAGGCCCAGAACACCTGATTTCTCCACTTTGCTGCAATGCCTACATACTGTTTTCACTAATTAGGTAAATGCTTTGATTTATGGATTTCTTTGTTCTGGGACGATAAAGTTTATGTTGCCCCGTCCATGGTGGAACACATCATTCAGGACAAAGCAGAATCCATTCCTAGGCCATGGCTACTCACCTGTGCTTCAGAATGAACTATCTCTTACTCTTGGGAGGAGAGCTGTGTTTTATGTCTACATATCGTGGATGATATAGGAAGCAAGACATGTGATAGGAAGGGCTTTGGATGGGGAAATAGGACAAGGGGTGGAGAAAGCTTTGCATCAGGGATAAGGAGACTTAGTTTCCCACCGTCGCCAGAGCCACTCAGGGACCTTACAAGGCTATTCTGGGAGGACTTTGCAAACGGCTATACCTAGGCAGCAGAGGGAATTTTACACTACCTTATTCCTACAGACTTCTCTCTCTCTGGAGCCTATGAGGAAGCAGGAAGGGAAGCTGTTGGGTCAGCAATGCCCATCTATAGCTTCAAGGTTGCCAACCATGGGTCCAGATAAGGCCTAGGGTTAATAAAACCTGTGCGATGTCTTCAGCCCTGCCTCCCCAGAAGGACATCTTATCTACCCCCTGCTGCCAGGAGGTGGCCAGGAAGCTGTCTCCAGGCTGAGCAGGTCACAGCAGGATGGATAATGGCTCTTGGGAACCACCCTACTCCACATGGAGAAGCCTACCACAGGTGACTCTCACAGTAGCCTCTGACCCCTGCTCCAGTGGTTCAAACACCACTAAGGCAGGAACTGAACTCTTGCCCCCATCCCAGGAGGGTGCTGCAGCTAGTTCCCAGCCAGGGGGACAAGCTGGTGCTAGCTAATGGCACCAGCCAATACCTACCATACAGGCTTCTGCATGGAGGGCCAAACCAGATACTGGCCAAATCAACTTCTGCACTATCCTCTATGCTGTGATGCCTAGGATTGACAGATCATGACACACACACCCAAGGATCCACCAAACCCCACCCTTTCGAAGCCAACACAGCCTACAACAGGGATGTGTAGGGCACTAAGGATCTTCTCTGCTCCTACCTAAAAGAGCCCAGGGAACTAGGCAGCAGTGAGTGAAGCTAGGCCGCTCCTCAGAGAAGAAGACACAACTCTGACGAGGATATCTGGGGTCAACCTGGTTTCCAAAGCTCTGCCATCCCTGCCAGTTTCAAACAGAGGCAAGGCAACTTGGGTCTACATACAAACGGGCTTGGAGACAGCTCTGGATTATGGACAGGATAGAGTTAACTGAGCTATGTCCCTGCTGGGAAGAGGAAATGGGTGTCCAGGATGGGGAGGTGCTGTCCTGTCCCACCAGGGGGCCTGTTTGTGCAGTCCCTGTTGGGGAGAGAGACACTGAGAGACCAGAGGCAGAGATGAAATTTCTGTTTAGCCACGAGGTTTGCGTCAGCTCCTTCTCACACCAAAGACTCAGATGAGAGTGAGCCCCCTTAAGGAAGAAGGAAAAGCCAGCATCAGGGCCCAGCTTCCTAGAGAAAGCTAGAGTTTTGGGAAGATGCCCCAGTGCTGGACATATGCTGAGAATGTGGCAGGGCCTGGCTTGGCCCTAGATTCTCTGCATGCCAAGTCAAAAGGACAGAGTAAGTCCCCCTGCCCAGAACTGCCCTTCCTGTGTCTCCCCCTCTTGACTGCCAAGCTCCACCCTTTCATCCCACCCTCCTCTGTTGATCCAGCATGTGCCCCGTGGCCTCTGCTGGGGTCTGGCCATTCTCAGGGATCTGCCTCCCACCCCCATGCAGGGGCGGGCAGAGGGAAACACATTCCTCATTGTGTCACTTCCCTTCATGGGCTGCCAAGGGGCTGAGGCGGCAGCCCCCCGCCTCTTCCCTCTCTGCTCACTTGTGTTTATTCTCATTTCCTCCCCGTCCCCCACCCCTGTGAACCCCACCCGCCTGCCCCACTGATGCTCTGCAGATGGGAGCAAGGCAGCCCTGGGGCCCCAGCCCCTCTCCCTGCCCTGTTTCCTGCAGCTGAGCCACTCGAGGCCGTCTCCCCAGGGCAGATTCCACAGGGACAGGCATTCCTCCCCCTGTTCTCAAGCGTGGCTCAGAGGTGACCAAGATGGTCTCGTTTCTTAGGGGGTGGACCAGCCCTGGGACACCAGGCCAGGCGCTGCTCCCTGGGCTGAACCCTGACAGCCCAGTGGGCCTATGGACAGAGACCATGTCTCCTTAATAAGGGAAGTCCCTCCCCAGGGACAGGAGGAAATGGCACCCCAGGAGCTGTGTATTTTAGGCTCTTGTCAGTTAGCTGTTCTGAACCCTTCCTGTTTAGCATGTTCCTGGGAAAAGCTGTTGACGGCCTGGACTCCCACCCCAGAAGAATGTATAACACCTAACAGTGAGCACATAGTCTTAGAGGGCTGTGGAACCCAGGCTAAGAACCCTTGCTGCAAAGAGCTGGAGCTGGGGCTGAGTGGGAGAGCACTTGCCTCGTGTGCGCAAGGCCCCCAGTTCCATCCCAACGAAAAAGAAACAATCCAGGTGTGGCAGCGCTCTCAGGAGGTACAGACACACAGATCTCTAACCTGGTCCTCATAGTGAAGCCCAGTTTGGGGTTTTTGTTTTGTTTCGTTTTTAGCAAAAGAAAAGAAAAGAAGAAAGACCCTTGCTCCAGATTATCTAAGGCTGGTCCTCCATTAATTAGCTGAGGTCACAAGTCAAACTAACCTGTCTAAGGACACAACGAAGCATCAAGAACATGGATTCTATGACTCCCCGTCTGCTCCCACAGAGCTCTGCTATGTATGGAACCTGAGAATGAGGCACTGTATTGATGGGACATCCACAGCCCCATCGCCTTTTGCCCAACCTTAATCGTAGGCTAGCTGCCTTGACTCCAGGCTCAGCCTTCTCCCCTATGGGTGCCAGCATGGAGGAGAGGACCCCTGAGAGCAGAAGCGGAGGGAGACTTCCTAGGGCGGTCGCGTCCCGTGCCCTTCTTGGGAAAACAGAAACTCTAGAACCTGAGTGCATGAGTACAGCAGGAAGAGAAGATCAAGGCTGGACACAGCAGTGATGCAAACCTCCCAGCTCAGCACTTAGGAGGCTGACGCAGGAGGAGTGTGCCTGTGAGGCCAGCCTCGGCTATGTATCTAAAACCTGACTCAAAAAAACAAAAAGAAGACAAAGCCAAAGCAAAGCAAAGCAAAACCAAAAAGTCTACTAGGTGAAAATTCCCAAAAGAATCCAATCATAATAGCCTAAAAAAAAACAAAACAAAAACAAAAACAACAACAAAAAAAAAACCATATCTAAGTATCCGTCAATATATAAATAAATAAATAATTTTAAATATAGTATGTTCAGTCAATGAGCTATTTACTATTGGCCCACAAAGAGGAATAAAGTGCTGATATATGTTAAAGCATGGATGGGCCTGGAAAATGTTACACTGGATGAAAGTATCTAGTTATAAAAGATTATATATTATGTAATTCTATTTATATGAAATGTCCATAACAGGCAAATCCATAAAGGCAAGAAGGATATTAGTGGTTGCTTAGGACTGGTAGAGGAATGGGGAGTGACAGCTAATGATTCAAGGTTTCTTTTGTGGATGATGAAAATGTTCTAAAATTAGATTAAAGCGGTTACACAGTTTTCTGAAAAACATCAAGGCCCGTTGGATTGTGCACTTTAAATGGATGATATGAATTACATCATGTTAGAGCTGTTAAAAGTGAGAGTTGATGGGACTGTGTGTGTGTACGCGCTCACACACTTTCAGGCAGAGTAGGGTTGCACAGAATTGGCTTCTTCCAGCCCCCAAAGACCTCCCTGCTTGTAGGTCTGAAAACCAAATTATAGGTTTGCTGGCCACACAGCTACTTGCCCTGAGCCCTGCAAGGTTTCCAGTTCAACTAGAAAGTGCAGGCTGGCTGCAAAGTTGGCCAGAACAGCCTTGCAGGTTATAGAGGCTGCTGGGTCCTGTGGCCAAGGAGACCCACTATGGTTCCAGACCCTCACCTTCCCACCACCTCCCAAGGTTGCTGCCCCGACAACATTCTACAGGTATTCATTGAGCACATATCCTGTGCCAGGCACTTAGGCTGACCAGGGCAACCGAGAGGGATGTCCGTGAATTTGCAAGCCATCCTCCAGGGCTTTGTTAGTCCTGGAGCCCGGGACAGCTTCTCTGTGTCATTCCTCCCCAAGTGTTAGTGGGAACAAGTATGGAAAGGAGAGACAGAGCCCCAGGCCTCTCACCCTTGGCCCCGCCCACAGATTAATGGAAACCACCTGGCCAGTGAGCAGCCCATTCCCATGAGCATCTGCTTCTAATGAGTGCCCCAGCACCCGCTGCATACCAGCCCCCAGGGCTCATTAATCTCATTAGGCAATGACAAATCATCTTGGGGCTGAGCAAGCTCCCCTCCTTGGGCCCTTTGCGCCACGGCTTCACACAAGCCTCGGTGGGCCCGTATCCACGTGCAGTCTCACACCCCCATGCATATTAAATCTCTCTCCCTT